GACCCGTCATGGGCAGACATCATCAAAAGACTTGCCATTAGCAGGTATAAAAAAGTCCTGTCACAGGCAGGCATCATCAAAAGACCTATCAGGCACCAAAAAAGACCTGTCAAGAGCAGGCAAAAAAAAGACCTGTCACGAGCAGGCATCATCAAAAGACCTGCCATGAGCAAGCACAAAAAATGTCACGAGCAGGCATAAAAAAAGACCTGTCACGGGCAGGCATCATCAAAAGACCTGCCACAAGTAAATACCAAAGAAGACTTGTCACAAGCATGCATCACAAAATGATCTCTAAGCCTTACCCCCACGCAAGCACATCTAAGCCTTGCCCCATACAAACACTATCAAAGTCTTACCTTGCTCAAACACCTAAGCCTTGCCCCGTGCAAGCATCTCTATGTCTTACCCTGCGCAAACACCTCTAATTCTTACAATGCATCAAGTAAAAAAAAACCCAATCGTGGGTCTATCCTTAGCTTGTCAAGCTCAATTTATTCTCAAATTCGTTGGAACAGAGCTCGATATATTATTTCAAATTGGGCTCGAGGGACTGTCTTCGAGCTCAAGATATTGTCAGATCCAGCCACAAGGGCTCGGGATATTATTTCAAATCGGGCTTGGGGGCCCGTCCTCGAGCTCAATACACTGTCAAATTCAAGCTACAAGGGCTCGTGATATTATTTCAAATTGTGCTTAGAAGCCTGTCCTCGAGCTCAATACATTGTCAAATCCCAGCCACAAGGGCTCGAGATAATTCTCTCACATTGGACTCGGGCAATGTCTTCTAGTTCAATACATTGTCAAATCCTAGACACAAGGGCTTAGGATAATTGTTTTCACATTAGGCTTGGGCTACGTCCTCGAGCTCAATTCAGTGTTAGACTAGTCAACGAGCATGGGATAATTATATTAGAATAGGATCAAGCTTTTGCTTAGTCTCCTATATGAACCTTTGTCTATTCGTCGAGCTCATTCAAAATTCTTTTAAAACAAAGCTTGAGAACGAGCTCCTTCTTTTCGACTTCTAAACAAAATAGGGGTTAAGCTCTTACTTTCAAAATTTTTAACAAAGCTCAAGGTCGAGTCCCTTCTTTTCAAATTTTAGACAAGATAGGAGTCCAAATCCTCCTTTCAAAATTTTTAATAGGGGTCGAGATTCATCTTGTTCCTTTTAAATTATTAAAATGTTTGAAACGTACTATTCTAGATCTATGTGCTCGAGTGCCTATCAATTCACTATGAGCATGCCTACTCCTTGGCATGAGCATGCCAACTTTTAGGCGTGAGCATGACCAAATCTTGGCATGAGCTCGCCAACCTCTAGGCATGAGCACGCCTATTTCTTGGCATCAGAATGCCAACTTCTAGGTACGAGCTTGACTATATCTTGATGCCTATCCTTATCATGAGCATGCCTATTTTTGAACCCAACATGCTTGTGCACTCATCCTAGAAACTTGCATATTGTGCAAGCCTTTGGCATGGATGCACGGAGGCCAGTGATGTGGTCACTTTTTGCATATCCTCGAGGTATTCTTCCCAAGGACTCACATGTACCTGCTCATGACATATTGGTCATAAAGTCCTCGAGCCAAGGGTGTCCTTGGGATGAAATCTCCGAGGACTATTACCACGCCTCCACGAGATTTGATTGGCAAGTTCCTTGAGATAAGTCCTCGGGAAGGTCCTCTTGACGCCCAAGGCATGCAAATGCTCGAGTACTTACCTTTACTTAGATTCAGACACCTTCGAGCTTACGCCCAAAAGAAGTCATACTCATTAAGGACTCAAATCTGACTCAAACACCTCAACCTAAGACTCCTACATCTAGGAGGACTCTATCCCTACTATATTACCTAAATTATGAGTGGTCTTGTAATTGTAGTACGAATAAATACCCCTCCCCCAGGTAGGACTCTTTGAGATAAGGATATGTAATTGATTTAGTCCTACCGAAAGTGCATTACTTAATCCTACTAGGAGTGCACTACCTACCTCTATAAATACAAAGATTTGGATCATTATTTAGGTACGTCTTTACATACAATTTTCATATATGTTCTCACATAAATTCCCTCTCTGACTTGAGCATTGGAGGGGTGATGAGCACACACCTCGTTGCCTTTGTTTTAGGTACCGAAAGGCCCTGTTCAGGCTCTCTCAGTCCTCATCCTCGGGAAACCGACAGGTACAATTTTTGGTGGCATCAGTTACCAACTTTGACTCATCTCTTATTCATGAAATTGCTTCATGGTGACCGTACTAAATTTAATACTTAGTAAAGAATATTAAGGTATAGATGCACATACTCTAGATTATAATTTTATTATTTTCATCTTTCTTGAGATAGAAATTCCAATAAGATTTGCTTAAATCAATATTAGTCGTGTGCGAATATTAAACAAGGACTTTTGATACATCGGCTAGCTAGCTTCGTCTACAAGGTTACAAGAAAAGCAAGAAAGAATATTATGTAGAATTGTTGAAATCTTCAAGAGAATCTCTTCAGAGAGATTCTAGAATTGTGTGCCCTTAGACAAAAGTCATGTTAAGTATTTTCTGTTTTTGCTTTAAGCCAATTTGTTCTAGTTTGGTAGGTCATTTGGCAAGTTCCCAAATAAGAGCTAAGTACTAAATTTTTTTCCTTGGACGCGGCATAAAGTATTTTATTGTTTTCAATCTATGAAGAAGAAAAATAATACCATATCCAGAAAACTCATCCTTGAGTTGCATGATGCAATTCCCACACAAGGCGTGATGCTTGGAATCCAGAGTTATTTATTTATTTATTATTATTATTTTAAATTAAACCAATAAATGCAGAACCAAGCCTTAGAACAATCTTTTCATTCTTGACATATAAATCACTGACCATTTGGTTCTTTTCTTGATATAATACCTTATCAGATATATTTGCAGCAACCAAAAATAGATTTCTGACATTTTAAGGATGAAACTCAACTTAAACCCTACAATGGGCAGGGATGGATCCAGGAATTTGTGTTAGATAGGGTGGTCCGTGGTCGTTGACTGATGATCAATGGCTGCAATAGCGAGATTGTTTCTTCGAGTGGCAGGCGAGCGGTTTGCCACAGGTTCAAATAGCTCAACTAGTGCCGCCCATGCCAACACTTTAACCGCAACTAAGCATGCCCAAATCTTCCATTCTACATTAAGTGATTGAACAGTCAGAGAGCAAGGTATGGATACTAAGCCATTTCTTTAAGCACTACATGACAATAACAATTTGATGTCGATCATGATGAGTTCTTCACATGATTGATCAAATAATAACTTATTTACTTCAATACCCGGTTGAGGCTTCAACAGCAGGATCAGATCAGGAATTGATCTCTTTTCAGCCATAACTTTCACAAAAATATTTCGTTCAGTTTGAAGCATTAAACTGTTTCCTTTCCTAATGGATATCCCTTGGACCAGCAAAGCCTGAAAGACATTCTTTCATCTCCTGAGAGAATTTCAAAACCAACTCAAGCTTAGCCATCCTTTTTAAAACTGAATAATGCTATTTGTAATCGGCAACTATAATAGTCGCTTTATGTGACAGCTTGTTATTTAATACATTAATGCTCTGTAATTTTATTACTTCAAATGACAAGCTAATGCTTCAATAACGAACTGACACATTGGATAATTATTGTACTCACTGATTATGAATATCATTACTCTTTTAAATTGAATATTAGAGACATGTATAAGTCAATTGACATATATATCTTAGTGCTTCTTCAATGTTTCCCGATCGACCAAAGCTCTCAACAAATCTGCTCGGCTCGTGCCCTTAACTCATGATTTTCATGGTCTGGGTAACAATTACATCATATTTATTGACTTGCCATTATAAATGAGAGTCATATCCTTGAGAATTCTGCTTTTGCCATATACTTGAAAGGACAAACATCTTTTCTCAATTCTCCATTTTGTTCGGTGAGATTTTTTTTTCTTTTTTTGGTTACATTTTTATTTTTAAACACATTCAGGTAAATTATATTTTCTTTACTTTTATTAGAAATTTTTTGTTTATTTTGAAATTACTCTTATTTTATGTTTAACTGTTTAGTAATCTATCTAAGCTTCGATCAAATATCCGAGCTGAGCACGGCCATCGTAGTGTATAATGAATTCTTACGAACTCTACTCAGTGAAGAGTTTGTTAAGCATTTGGTAGGAGTATCAAGTGTAAGGGTGAGGAAACTCCTAAGGGTTGGTTTACTACTTTCTGAGGCCCTTTGTGGGGAGAGGATGAAGAAGAAGAAAAAAGAAGATTAAGGGATATTGCGGATGAAGAGAAGCAAGGGAGGATACATCAACAACTGGTGCAAATGAGAATGGATCTGACCACTTCAATAGTTCTTTGCTATATTTCATTAAAATTTTCAAAACAATAATCGAATGTAATCCCATTACGTTCCATTGTCGGCTTGAACTTATCTCTTAACCCCTGTTTGACCCCCATTATCCGAAAATGAAAATGAGGAGAATAGTATTTTTTAGAAAAATGAGTGGTTGAAAAAAAAAAAACTTTTTGATTTACGTGTAATATTATTTTATGGAAGATTATGTGGTTAAAAATAGGAGAAAGAAAAATGGAATGTAATGTAATGTAATTTAATTTAATGGAGATCAAACAAGGGCTTAACTTCCTCCTATTTCCAGTCTACTTATTTTTATTTCTTTTTATTTCGATTTTATTTAGTTAGTATAACTCTAACTATTCCTTTTATACAAATTCTCTTGTTTTCACCTAGGATTCTTGCTAGGGACGTAAAAAAGGGGATCCTATCAACTTGTTCCAACCTAGGATAATAAGCTCATGAGCTTGGTCTTACTTCAACGTCGAGAAACGAAGACTTCAAGTCATTCCTCTTTCACATTGTCTTCCATAATAAACTACTTGCAATAATCACATACTTCATCAAAAGGGAAACGAATTCACCACTCAATAACATGTATATAATTTATATAAGGAGAAGTCATGGGAAAATGTGAAAAATGATTTTATTAGCGTGGGAAAATGGTGATTTTAAGAAAAAGGGCTTGACATTAAAATGAGCCTATCTTCAGGAACCCACAAATTAGGAGCACCATCATCAACAAAACCTCCACTCCAGCTACATTAAGCATACTGACTCAAAAGGAAACCTAAAACTCAACGTTGATTCATCACTTCTCCATGGAAATGCGGACACCAACGGATCCAGCATCTGGATTTGAGGTCAGAGCTCGGCTATTCTTTCTTTCAATGAATTCAAAACAGCTTTGCAAGCCAGTCTCTCTGCAGTTTTTTTATCAGAAGCCGAACGTGACTCTTTATGTACAAATCCATCAGCTTCCACCTCCACTTCGACAAATGACACCCCATTTTCACGAAAGACAACAGGCTTTTTGAATGTAAAATGCTGCTTCTGACATAATTCCGATAATTCTCTCACTGGATGAAGCCTCAGTGTCTCAAGTGTAACCATGGGCTCGAGAAGAGGCCTTATACTTTCAAAAACAATCTCCTTGTTGTACCCAGAATCGACGAAGATAGCCCCTGCGAGGGATTCTATTACATCCCCGAGAACCTGCATCATGTCAACAAGACAAACAATTATTGCCATAAGAATAGTACAGACAACTTATGAAACTGAGAACGTAACAATTCGTGAACTGCTCGTTGTATTTTTGGTAATTTGCATAATTTCGCGAAAAAGAAATTCCAAGTCATTGATTGAATCTCAGAACACTCGCATGTTTACAAATTCCACATTTTGAAACATTCATCATTTTAAAATTTTCAGTTCTGGAGGGTATTTAATTTAAATATTGGAATAAAACTCGTATTCATAGATATAAAATGAGAATATATTTTATGAAAGTTACCACCTTCGGGTAAGTTATCTCAGATTCCCAACCAAAAGTTGAGACCGAGTGTAGTTCCTCAGAATTGTTAACTGTCTTGATTATATGCCGGTGAAGCTCTTGTGAAGCATGAAGAATATGCTTGTGAAGTCCTGCTTTAACTGCCGATTGAGCATAGCAATCATTGTTCACAGATGCTGACCTTAGATCAGTTAGAAGCCCAGGAGATAGGCCAGGATATTTGTGATACAGGTTCACAGTAATCACATAATCCAGTACAGAGTCTCCAAGAAATTCCAAACGCTGCAGAAGAATGAAATCAAGGCCATTACTAAACAATTCTGCGCATGGTAAGAAAAATTAACGAAGGAATCTTCTAAACATAATTTCTAATGCACATACCTGATAGCATCTTGGAATTTCAGGCAGCATGTAAGAACCATGAGTTAGTGCTTCAACTAAATAAGAAGCATCGCGAAACCGATAGTTCAGCAGAGACTCGACATATCTGACATTGACATATACCTCGGGATTAACAGGGAAGGGCCTTGTATAGGGAACACCAACAGTGTCAACATTTATACCAAGCCATGCCATAAAGGATAAGGCTGCTGATTCACCACCTGTGCTAAGGAATGCCCCGATCAATGCTTCAACAACATCCGCGATAACCTTACTTTTTAGCGTCCTGCTCCCTTTAACATAGACTTTTCTAGATGAAAGTAACTCCTCATCTAAACCATGATTTGCAGAATTATCCCCAGGAATTATCCATGTTTTGGGGTTAAATGGTTCATTGCGGATGAAGCCCTAAAATTTAGAAGTGGCCAAATCAAGAAGAAAAATTCAATATTCATTGATAGATATTATTTTTTTGAGGCACAAAACAAAAGAAACAAGAAGGTAGAATAGAAGATATCAAGCAGAATTTAAAGAAACACCAACAAATGTGACTGCCAACCATGTGGTGTGGCAATTAGAATAATGCTATTATGAATATCAAATAAAAATTAAACTAGAAATCTGTTTTATTATACAAAGGGGAGCAGAAACAGGATGGGGTTCATAGGGAAGTAAAATTGGAGTTTTTTCCCATAAAATTTCTACTTTTCATATTAAAGAGAAATTTAAGTTCAAATTTTGGTCTCTTCTAGTGTCTCGTCCAAAACTAATTTTAAGACCTCAAGATAACTTACCTAAAAACAAAAGTCATGTCTAAATAGCAAATGAATGTCAAAATATCAAAATTAGAAGAATTTGTTTTCTTTACTTTTGTGTCCAAGTTGTGAAAAATAAAATATAATACAAAATTCTTCCTTAGAAACTTTTACTATAACACATGCACTGAGTTTCACTTTCAAGTAAAATATTTCTTCTTTCAACCCTCAATGAAAAATAATGAGAGAGAGCAAAAAATTATGATTACGACTTGGTAAGATTACCGGAATTTTGCGGTCACATCCCAGCTTGCATAATGTAGCATTAGAAATTATTTTTTCTTTTTTAATACTAAGAAGGCCCTCATGCTCTTTTTTATAAATTTTGAAAACATGTTGACCAGCAGCGTATTTAAGAAAAGAGTCCCCAAGGGTCTCTAGTGATTCCAGATGAAGTTTTTCTTGGCATTTCTTTGTTGTGATTGCTTCCAAAACCTAACAGCGACAACAAAATTAACATTAGACCAAGATTATGAGATGACAACTTCAACGAAAATAATAATAATAATAATAATAATAATAATAATTTATTTCACTCATAATTAATTAGCAGGCAATATCCATTTAAAATCTCACTAAATCATGCAAAGCTTATTGTGCATGTAATGTTGTAATCAAGCTAACCATAATGTGTCAGGATAATTTTTTCATATCCATCAAGAAATATCCAACTAATTTTCAACTATCAGAAATACTTATGCATACCAAGTCACCAACTACACTTCCAGTAAATTAACCCCCAAACTTGCACTTTTGATACATTAAAAGTTTAAAAGAAATGACAGGTGCAGATTCACCAATGATTTGAAAAATATAGTGTTCTCAACTCCCTTAAATGATCTTGCAAGTCAAGAATTGACATTAAATTTAAGATACAGAGAACCAGAGGAGTAAAAAATACATACTTTGATGATTGGAATATCAACATTTTGCATGCAGTGATCCTTATGCATTCTTCTCAAGTTTGAAGCTAGAAGCAAAGACTCGATCCGATGCATGATGGATGGAAGAAAGGAGAAAGAGTAAAATGTAGAAATAGATATAGGTGACATAATTACGGAACAAAGTTCAGGTGGCAGTTCACATGATGCATTACTTGGTTCTGCATGGAAAAGGAACACACCAGTTAGCCATAAACCAAAATGTGATATATCCAAATATCTTTAGTTGATCGCATAGCAAGTAATAATCTCGATAAACCGCCTTATTCTGCATTTTAGTAAGAAAAGATTTGCCGAGAATAACAATAAGGCCCTTAACACAACGGTTTTAACAAAACATATGCAGTAGACGAGCCATTCACCTATTCAATTCACAAAAAAATCTTGCACCCACCAACACACACACAGGAACTTCAACTCAATAATAATTTGGTCCATGTTAATTTACTACTCCAGTACTCCAATCCTTGCATTATTTAGGCAGCTTCATATATACATGATTCACAGTTTGATTTCTTAACAGAGACAACAAATAGTGGACGCAGGGGAAACTGAAGAATTTTAAACATGTTAACAGTATTAGCTTATGAAAAAATGTCTAATAAGAGAGAGAGAATATCTTACAAAACCTGGCTGTCTTTCATGATTTGTTTAGAAAATGACTACGGAAAATGAATTGTTTATATATATACGTTTTAGCTCCTTCTTTGAAAGTGATTATTTGAAAATCACTTTTCCCCCACCGACCACACATTCTCCAAAAAAAATAATACTAATAATAATTAATTAATTAAAAAAATCATTTTCATGTTTCCCCATAGCTTTTTCCTACTACTTTTTAACCGCTCATCTCCAATAAATAAATAACTTTCACACAAGCACTTAATAGTAAACCAACCTTTTGCCTTCTGACCTCTACATCTCTGAAGGTAATTTTGCACTGTGAAGATGTGTCTCCCATTAAGAAGTGCTTCATTTTCAAAAAGCAATTTGATACCATGTCTGCAAGGAACAAAACCTTTTTATTAAGATTAAGCTTGATCACGCATAGTAAATACATCAGTGGTTAACTGAAAGGAAAAGAATAATACAGACTTCCTTTCATTGTACTCTTTGTAAGTAACATATTCATCATCGTTCTGTATAAGAAATGAATTGCCATCCAAATCACCCAGAGTTCCCGTGATGCAATACATGAAACCATTATGAGGCGTATAAACCAACGAATTCTGTAACATGCAGGTACAGACTAAACCTTTCTTTGTGTGCACAAGATGACCATGACACTTCGGTGAAGAACCATCAATGTGCATATCGCGCAAACTGTTATTTTGAATTAGGACAGATTTAATGCAATTCCAATCAATTAGTGGTCCTTGAAGCGGAAGAAGAAGATAATCAAAAGCCACGCAATCACTCATATAAGATCTGCCCTGATCTTCATGAAGTCTATAAAAATTATTGTTGAAAAGATGCTTAAAAACAGTGTTCTGAAACCGCTGACATAGGAGAATCTGCAATCAAAGATTAAAAATCGATTTTCAGAAAATCTAAATTCTAATTGGCTGTTGTATTCTCAACATGACATTAGCAAATGATTATAGATTACTAATTTTATCATTTTACCTGCTCAGAAGTCAGTTTAATGCTTCCAACATATTTTACATGCACAATTAGTTTTCCCCTATCAACATCTAAATCTAAATTTGACAACTCGACATCAGATTCAAGTCTCATCCTGGTGGCAAGCACAATATCTTGCGGCTGGACGGTATAAGCGAACTCCTGCTGTAATTTAATTAAATAGCAACAGTACAGCCTTTCAGACTCATTATCATGATAACCAACCAATTCCTGTGGGCAGTACTGTACTTGTTCCTCCACATAAGAAGGTTTGTATCCTGTACTTTCAGATTCGAAAAAATATCGTCATTTGTTATTATCTTGAAAAACGAGTCTGTAGGAGAACTAAAGAAAATTCCAAACAGAGAATCATAATGAACAGAAGTGTAAACAAATAGTTACCAAATTCTTCAGCATCAGCTTCCGCTCCCACAATATCAGGCACGAGATTGTCTGTCAGGGCACCAACCTGATGAAGTTTTCTGCAAGCTTCTAGGCACGCAAGTTGCTTCAGTATTTTGGTTTTACCATGAACGGTAATAGTTTGTATTGGGCAGCTTTTTGGAAGGTGCAGTGTGCAAATTTCCAATTCTTTGTCAATCACACAGCGAGGGTGAGGTCTATAGTAGCTACAAACCAAAAAAGGAAAAAAATTATAAGTGCCTTTTTTTTTCACAATTTGGAGAAATTAACACTTCAACTGACCACACACCAATCATGTAAGTTCTTATGATAATTTGACAGCCTAGAAACTAAAAACTTCAAAATGGTGATAAGCTCAAAGATGTCAGAAACAAACCAGTCAGAAGGCAGCCGTGAGCAATAGAAGTAGAGCAAAGACACACTAGAAGTCAAAGTCACAATTGCTCCTGTGGTTTCAACTTTATAGTATTCTTCACTTTTCAATTCATTATCAAGAGGTTCACAAGGAAGGCTAGCATGGCTCAAGCACTCCTTTCGCATTCTCTCTCCACTAGCCAAATAGTTCTCTACACGTTTGAGGATGGCAGTATCCCCTCTACAATCAACCAATAGAAAAATGAAGAAAGAGATAATCAGCCTCATCATTGACCTTCAAATAGCTCAAATTCTACTGTAACCGGCTATCAAACAAAAAGGACAGGATAATTGATTAATAGATAATTTAACATTCGATTAGGTTTCAACCAACGGATACGAGTTTGAAACCTTAATTCAACCGTCAAATTATGCACTGCAATAGAAAAGAAATTGTGAAATTGTTCCAAACAAGATTGTCGAGATTTTAACTTCTATTTTTACTACTTTTGGAGTGATAACAGCTCAATTTACCATTAGTATAGAATCTTTCCCAACAAGAAAACAGAGATCAACAATTTATTATTCTTCTATTTTTACATTTTGAAAGTGATGGAGCTCACCTTTTTATCATTAATACAAAGTCTGAGTCTTGCATACGAGCACGCCCACGTGACTGAATAAAGCTACATATTGTGGCAGAGGGATCGAATCTAATCACAAGATTGCACCTTTGCACGTCTAATCCCTCTTCAAGCATAGAGGTTGCGATGATGATGTTAACCTGCAAAAACATATACCCAAGAACAAAAATAAGCCCCTGTTTGATAGGGATTAAAATTAAATTTTTAATAGATTTTGATAGAAGTTTTTGAAATGGATGGTTGAAAAATTGTGGGACCAATGAAAATGTGGTTAATAATGATTGTTTGACTTTGACTTAGATTAAAATCTGATTTAAATCAATACCAAACACGGGCTAAATATCATTTCATAAAAATAAGTAGCAAATATTGGAAAGGTAAATGAAATAAATAAAGTACGAGACCCACTCTGCCCTTGCGAAATTCATCAACTATTTTGTTTTGTTCTTTTCTACTTTGTGATTGCAGCTTAGAATTGTTCCCAGCCGTGTATTCTGCTCTCCACCCACTGACTTCAGGAAGTAACTCATTCAACAGATTCCGAAGAACAATTGCCGTGATAATTCTCTCAACAAAGACTATACATCTCAAATCCTTAATTTCCCTGTGCAAGTATCATGTAAGAGAAAGAGTACCGATGAAAGGCTCTCAGCCAAATTCAAAATATTCACAAATGGTGAAGAACTAATGACAAAAAAAAATTGAAACGAAGACCTGGAAAAATACTCTTATTTTCATCCATATTAAATTAAAATTCAGATATATCTTATTAAACAAGCGAGAATAATTGGAATATTAGTTGTATTGTGTATGCTTCAAGTGAGCATTAGGAAACCAAAATGATACACCTGGGACTTTGTGTTTCACCCACCCTATTCCACGCATCATCTGTAAAATAAATGCAGGTGAAATATGAACAAGAACAGCAGAACAGGTGATGACACTGCTATTCTCAGCGTACAAGACCTACCAAGTGTGGTGGGATGTTTACATGATTAGAGACATAACACTTCTGAAGTTGATGAACATAAATGGTGACTTGAGAAACGTCAACTCACGCTGTTTACATCTCATGATGTTCAATTCGTGACATCAAACATATCATAAGATATTTAGTCGTGTACACTTGCCCAACTACACAGTAAGTCAGACTTTCTCCGTTGCCTTGAAGTTCAGCCAAAAATGCATAGAGTCAGGTTCCTCACCACATGTGGTGGAACATACACGCAGTTGGATTTTGCAGATTTTGAAGTTGATAAACATGGGTGGTGGCAATAATACTATGTCAAATTTAACTTGTAATTTGTTTTATCTTGTGTTGTACAAGTTGCACCATCAAACACACCATAAGATACGTCCCCATGCATATTTGCCTCACATCATCAACAAGATACTAAAGGTTTTCCCAAAAACTAAAATGTACTTCCTAAGAGATATTAAAATGGAAATTTTCCCATAATTTAAATTAGTTCTATGGACATGTCAATCTCAAAACAGGTAAGACATTCATCAAAAGAATTGAAAAGAATATTAATAATTACTAGAGAAAAATGTATATAGTGCATACTACAAACCTGTATTCAAGAAGAGTGTTAACAAGGCAGGCAACCTTCGATGTAACAAACCCAGAATTCAATTTAGCTTTTATATCATAACAGTTAGACCATTGTGGACCTTCATGAACAAAAACAAAAACAATCACAGCACGAATAGATGAAAAATATATCTAAATCTCGGACAAAAACAAAACAGTACAGACATTATATGAAGTGAGAAATACCCGACGGCACAAAGGCATAAAAGACTTCAAGTGCATCCAAACTAAAATCTCTAACAACCTTGTCACAACGTACATCCAATGTCACCCATGAAAAGATATTGGTTACTTCACAAGATAACATCTCTGCTGCCTATTCAAACCAGAAGTTCTTACTGTCAATTGCTACAGCTGCAAAAAAAATTGTGCTTTCTATATACAAAAATAAAATATATACCTTGATAGCTAACCAAACACCCAGCTCAGTTAAACAAAATTTGAAGGTAGAGCAAAGATTAGATAATCTTTCTTTTGCAGATTCAGCGGCAGAGATCGAGATACTTGATCTTTCCAGAGAGAGTTTATGCTGATGAAAAGTATATATAAAGTCAGTACCTTGAAAATGGGAAGAGCAAATGATAACATGAAAATGCTACCCTTAGACAAAAAAAAATCAAAGCATGTGAGTTTAGTTCCCAAAAAATACAGCTTTAGTCCTCTGAGATAAAAAATTATATTACGTATTCAAATCTCCGATTATCTCAAACAACGCAAATCACACTTGTGTTTGCAGCACCAGTAACTTCCAACTAGAACAATGCAATAGAAGGCGAGCAGAAAAAGTAAAGGACTGACAAGCTTAATATTGAACACTTTAACTAAAAGAGACGTTCAACCCAACCCCTCACGTCCATATAGGATTTCATGTTTTTTATCAAAAACCTGCATGGGCAAAAATTTCATACATGGGTGACAACAAAACTTGAAACACAAGTCTTTTATCCATCAATGGTACATCATCTCATCTAAAATCTCAAGTTATAGAACTTCCACAGAACCTCATGCTAGGATATTTATCATAAATCCATCAAGTACACAAGACACGAGGGAGAATCAATGTTCAAATCTATATAAGATATACTGTTCATGCTACACTTGTAACATCCATTTTACTCCAACGGTAAGCATACTTTTAATCAAGTGAAACTGTATCGTTAGTTATTCATAGGAGCAATAACACAACACAATCCCAACAGTTTCTAGCTCCAAGAGAGATGTGCATACCTTCTTTATCAACCTTTCCAAACGACTTGCAATACATTCAACAATGACGCAAGGAGCATCCACATGTTCGTACATCTTTACTTTTGGAGTTGAAAATGGGATGTACTGAGCTAAAACAGATTCGCTTTCACATGTGAAGACCTTCATTCAAAAGAACAGTGTAGGTTAGGAACCATTACACAAACCCAAAGGGAACACTAGCCATAAGAACAAAATTAAAAAAAAAATATGTAGCCACTACTAAATAGGGATTTGCAAGGCTACCCTCTCTTATATGCTAATACTTCCACATCAAATTCGCTTGTAGGTAACATATAACAGGTTAAACGCAGCAAAGAATATTAATTATAAATCATTCTCCATTTCTCAAAACTTATTTAATATCAAAGTATGTCAACAATTTCAATCTACTATACTAGCTGCATAAACTAAGCTTGCATCACAATGATACATGAATTACGAAGCAAAGGTAGCAAAAATCAGCAAAAAGACCTTTGAATTCATTAGATTTTCAAGTTGCCTAATCTGTTCCCAATAGTCAGCGGCCGAGCACGAGCCTATACAGATCAACAAAATGAACTGCTAAGTAATAGAGAGATCAAAAGAGAACTATAAGCAATGCAATACACGATTGAATTAATAATTTTCTAGAAGTTACATGGTACTAACCTTTAGCCTTTATAGGAGAAGCAGTCATCCCAAATATTCTAGGAAGGTGCAGAGCATTTTCTTCTCGTTGGCGATTATAGAAATCCTACAAGTTGTTTTTCGAATATTGTAAGTCAAAAACCAAATAGCTGGTAACAAAGTCAAACAATGTCATGTTAGTCTCTTAGACAGATTCAGGGAAACAAAAATTTATAAGTATCTCAATTTTAATTCAGTAAATAAAGTTTTGATGACATTTATTCATGCACCTTGCCAAAGTAACTCACGGTAAATAAAATACGCACACACATTAACAAACATTTCTTACTTCGATTAATTATATATAATACATCCCACACCTCTCTTATTCAGGAGAGAGTTGAAAGTATGAATAACTTCTCATTTTTCCACATTTGCTTCTTGATGCTGCCTTTTTGGTTCAATTCCAAAACGTGTACATTGTACAACAAAATTGACATAGTTATTGAAAAATTGCAACAAAAGAAGGAAATTTGAATCAAAGCTAAAAGAATTAAACTAATTATGTTTATTAGTTAATAAAGGTCTGCATTGATTCGTTATGATGTGACTTCTTGTTCATGTCATTTAACGAGAAGTAAGACATTTTCATGATACTCAAGTTTATACCATTGAGTCTAAATCAGACACATAATAAACTCAAGGAACATAATACTTCCACAGTGTCTGCATTGATTCGTTATGATGTGACTTCTTGTTCATGTCATTTAACGAGAAGTAAGACATTTTCATGATACTCAAGTTTATACCATTGAGTCTAAATCAGACACATAATAAACTCAAGGAACATAATACTTCCACAGTGCACCAATGCTCTTTGGGACGGAAATTTATATGATATGAACAAAATAACAGTGAAAATTCAGTGCATGTTGAAAGACTACATAATCACATCCGTCAAAAAGATACAAGAATCTTGTATATATAATAACCTTACAAGTCCTATCAAGCATAAAAATGGGATTTAAAATAGTGAAAATACGATCCATATGCTTATTTGGAACTCTCTTGCACCGTACAACACAAGCAAAATCTCAATCATACTGCTATTATGTTTCCATCAGAACACATCCAGTAGTTAAAATTACATATCAAATTAGAAATTAAGAATATACAATTTAGAAACATGATAACATACTACAGATTTCTGATTAACATTTTAATAGTCAAATACATTCATTACGAGCTATTACGAGATCTATCTATGAAGATTTTAAAATAAAAAGGAAATATCAAACAAACAAGTGCGTCTTGATCAATAATGAAATTCTCTTAGTGAGATCACAACGATGCTAAAAAATAACTTCAAGTTTGACATATCATATTACAACAAAATCATACCTTCATGATGCGAGCATAATCGTGATTGCGTCTCGCATTATGACATTCATCAAATATTAGAACCTTTATTCGGTCAAGACCCAAAAATCTATGACTCAAGGCTCTATACAAAATCGCTGGAGTCATTACAAGCACCTGAACATGTTACAATATGAGAAGCATATATTTAGGATTAAGATAATGAATGCACTTCCTGGTTACTACGATTCTCACCATTCTTACAACATTCAAAAATCTAAGAAGTTATAAGCATTTACTGGAAATATATTTTCAACACAAAAACAAGAGGTCTTATAGAAATAAATTCATCACAAACATTTTTATAGTATCTTTAAGTTGGCAACTTAGATTAATATTATAGTTTGGGATAACATTTAGCCACCGTCTGGCCCCCCTTCTTTCAAATTTTAATAGGTAAAATAGTATTTTTTTTTGAAGAATAAATGGTTGAAAAAGAAGAAAAAAATTTCGATTTACGTGTAATATTGTTTTATAGAAGATTGTGTCATTGAAAATGTGAGAGAGAAAAATAAAATTTAATTTAATGGGGGCCAAACGAGGGCTTATAGCCCTGACATCATGCCTCCACCAACTTAACGTCCTAATAATAGTAGCATCAAATTGAACGGAACCGCTTTTTACTTTAAGAATGAATTGTATACTAAGAGCATGTTTAGTAGAGATTTTAATCCAATTAAGATAAAAATTTTGACCATTATTTCACTATTACAGCTGTCATTTTTTAATTCTTCTATCACAGATAGGACCCATTTTATCTCTAACGGTCAAAAAATCAATTAACAAAATACCTACCAAACAAAGCACTAATCATAAGGAGTACCGCAATAAGCAGCCCCATAACACAATACCACAACTTCATCCAATAACAAAGATTGTTGAATTTATTTTAAGTATTTTGGTCTTAAATTTATTATGATAGATTACATATCATTAGAAAAAGTATAGAAAAAGAAGAGGTAGTCATTCACACCTCATGCTCATCCTTTTCACGCTTCCATGTGGCAGCATCCCAAAAATCAACACCCAACTCACCATAATACTTGCCAACTTTTAAGTCAGTGTGCATCTCGATATATTCACCTTGCTGTTTGACCATCAGAAGTACAAAATCAAATTTGAAACCACATAAAAAAAAAAACCATATGCATTGCAACCGTGGGAAAAAGAAAAGGTTAACATAGAAAACTCTATTTGAATCTTCATTAAATTTACAGGTTATTAATTAAACCAAACAACTACATGGTAAGTGATGCATCATGCAACAAACTCAAGGGACAATGAGAAATAATGTATCAAATAAACCACATAAAACTAATGCACAACATCTATGAAGTAAAGATACATAGTCACATACTTGGGTTACCAAAACAACAGTAGGGACCAAAAATACAGCAATAAAGGGTGAAGGCTTTCTGAGGAGGTGGGCATAGCTGCGAAGGAGCATGATTGCAATCAGGGTCTTCCCAGAACCGGTCTCCAGGTATACAATGGTGTTTCCCTTAAGTGCTTTTTCCAATGCGTCCAGCTGATAACTGCATCAACACCGGAATAAGATTATTCTAATAGAACGGAACATTGGTGCAAATAAAGAATTGGGCAAAGGTTTAAAATTCTTTCCCAATTCTCATACTGCTTTATAACTTGCTTCAACATTCACAACATGCCATAGCTTATGAATGATGAAACACAACTGTATACTCGCAAGTAACACATGTATGCAGGTGTATGGATGCGGAAAATCTTTCTTGGTAATGCACTACAAATTACAATCCAGTATCAGGAAGAATTTTCAAGTTCTTCCTGTTGTAAATGGAGGAATACGGAATTCCTTTTCTTCTTCGTGTCCACTCATTCATATTTAGTCCAACTTTTTTTTTGGCTTGGATAGGTTGGATAGCCGATCCACACCTTTTTCTCTATGATATCAATCGAAGAAAAATGAATTTGAAACAAATCAAATTACAAGACACAATCAGAGAGAGCACAGACCTTCTGGCGAAAAGAACTGTATCAGCGTCAAGGAGTTGGTTTCCTTCATCAATAGCCATATCAATTTTCTGTGCAAATTTAAACTTTTTCTTCAGGATCACAACATTAAAGGTGAAATATCACACTAATATTTTATACTAATAAAGAAACAGAGAAAATGGCACGAAGGTATGTTATCTACCAAAAAAATTCCTTAAACCATGATCAAACATCCTTAGAATTCAAAATCCAGAACTAAATTTTAAATTAAATGCAGAAAGAGTATTAAGTTTCACAGCTGTCCACATAAAAAACCACGAAAAGAACTCCCCATTTGCTAGAAAACGAGGTTCTGTTCCGGATTTCTTGATTTAAAAAATAATAATAATAAAAATAAAAAAACTGATCATATACACACCAAAAAAAACAAAAAAAAAAAAGACAAAATCCAGAACCAAATTTTAAATAAAACCCAGAAAGATTACGAAAATTTCACAACTTCCCACATTAAATAACTCACCATTTGCTAGAAAACAGGTTCTGTTCAAAATTTCTTGATTTTTTGAGTAGAGATTGATTAACGTTGTGTGTGTATAAGAAGGGTGAACAACTTAGCAACTAAGCAACTTGTGGAGTACACTTCCAAATTCCAAGAGAGAAAAAGTGCGCGCCGCGTGGACCCTTTTGGAAACGAGTGAAAAGTGAAAACGACACATCCCAGTCCACTGCTTCACTGTACCGAGGAATCTCTAGGAAATTGATCTGGAGCTTCACTTGTATGTATGTTTTTGTTTGATTTCAAAAAAGTTTAAGCCCTACCAAATTAAAATTAATTTTTAAATAAACTTTGGTAAAAGTTAGGTACCCATTTTTTTAAAATATATTTTTCTCTCGCTTTTTTTTAATCACTCATTTTTCATTGAAATAATATTACACGTAAATTAAAAACTTTTCTTTATTTTTCAAAGACACATTTCCCATCAATTTACTATTCCAAAATGCATTTTTACATAAAAATGACTCCCAAACACTAAGGATTTTTATGTAAAAATACATTTTGGAATAGTAAATTAATGTGAAATGTGTAGTTAAAAAATAATTAAAATTTTTTAATTTAAGTGTAATATTATTTTAAGAAAGAAAGTATAGTTGAAAAGAAGAGAGAAAAATGTATTTTGAAGAAAATGACTACCAAACGGGGCATTAATAAAATATGTAATTAAAATAAATTGTTAATTGCACACAAAAATATATTTACACAAATGAAAATTTTAAGGGCCTGTTAATACTTAACAATGACTTTGAGAATCAATTTTTTGACCGTTAAAAATAAAAGTGCATTCCACCTGTGAGTAAAGAAGTAAAAAATGATAACTAACTTAGGAATGTAACTGTCAAAAAATTAATTTTTTTGGTGAAAAATCAGAACCAAAGGAGGGCTAAACATTATGAGCATGTATGATTCCCATTTTTTTTTTTTTAAAATACATTTTTCTCGTCCTTCTTTTCAATTACACATTTTTTAATAAAATAACTTTACACACAAATTCAAAAATTTTCCTTATTTTTTAACTACATCTTCTCTATCAAAAGATTGTTTGGGAGTGATTTTGAGAATTGATTTTTTGACCGTTAGGAGAAAAGTAGGGTCCACCTATGAGAGAAGAAGTCAAATATGATGGCTGGAATAGTGAAATAACGGTCAAAAATCGCTCCCAAACAAGCTGCAAATATTGTCACCGTTTGGTCATCATTAATTTTCATTCCATAACATTTTATTTTTCTCTTTTCTATTTTCAACCACACAATCTTCCATAAAATAATATATACGTAAATCGAAAAAATTTCCTTCTTTTTCAACCACTCATTTTTCAAAGAAATACTATTTCACTGATTTTCATTACCACAAAATGGGGCCAAACGGGGGCATTATTCTAGAATACATTATTTAAAAAAAAAATGAGGCTCAAACATGTCCTATATTTTTTTAATTTAAATGAAATCTAAGTGCCTGTTTGAGTCCCATTAGACCAAAATACATTTTGAAATAATATTTTGTTAGAGAAAAATGTATTTTGATAAAAATAATAATCAAACGGAGCCAGTAAACTCATTACATAGGCAATGGCTGATTTTATAAACGTCTAGGCGTGAAAAGAGCAAATCAAGTTGTTCACTGGTTCAAATCTTTTTGCAAATAAATTTGGGAATTTATGGTGAAAACTAGATGGAATAAGCATATTTTAGTAAAAAAGTGAGTGGATTATCCCGCTTTAGTTTCTTAATGAACAATAAAGTGCATTGAAATTGTAGTTATAGAATGAACAATTTAAAGAACAAATCCTAACACACAATTTTTAAAAAACAGACATTGGAGTTCAATTTTAGATCATATTGTCATGTAAG